CCTTTTATTCTGCAGGGTTATTATTACATATTTATGCTTTTAACTCCATGGAGTGATAGCTTTGGATGTGCTGCATTGAATAATACATTACATGCATCTGCTTAAGCTCTGTCTCTTGTTAACTGTTGTGTGTGAGCACAGAATCTCACAAACCTGACTCACATGCTCACGCGCGTTTCCGTTTAGTAGTCATGCCACGATATGATGCTGATGAGGAAAACTTCAATCAGGTAAATGTTGCAGTAGACAGACACATGAGAAAATGTAACAGTTTTTTTTTTATATATATATGTTAAAAGACTGTTCTATTGTATTGCTATTTGGGACCCATTGTTGTAGTTATATGGTTAGTGCTGTTGCCTCATAGCAAGAAGGTTCCAGGTTCAAACTCCGGCTGTGTGTCTGTCTCTAAGTGTCAGCCCTGTGATAGACTGGGGACCAGTGGGTGGATAGATATTATAGTTGTGGACTACCTACAAATATTTGAAATATTACACTGTAATACTCTTCTATTCTCTTTTTCACATCTTGATTGCTGGAAGTTTTACCTCTTCAGGCCCCTAAAATGAATTCAAATAAAACAAGGGGAAAAAAAACCTTGTAACAAAGAGTCACATATAGTCATTGCTTGGTTTTGAGGCATTGCATGGCAAAAAAGGTTTGAAACCACAGGTAGAAAATTTGTCATTTTGAAATAAAACTGAATGTGAATACAGGAGATCAATTTAGGTAATAATTTTACCATTTCCTTTCATTTTCACCTTTAAATAAATGTGGTTAACATGGAGGAGTGTTTAAAACCTTCCTGAGAGACTGCCAATGTTTTTGTTTTAGAGAAGATGCAGCGCTTCTAAATCTCAGCACTTAACTTGGTGGATACAATATTACTAGTGATGGCAGTGATGGACAAAACCTCAAAACTAAGTGCTAATAACCCAGAATTATCACTTTATAATGAGTCTTGTACCAATCTGTGGAAATGTTCTCTGCCTTTCAATCGCTTTCATTGAAGCCACCGATGAGGAAGAATTCAACCTGCTTCACAAACTTTAACTAGGGACATGATACATAAAAGAAATCAAACCATCCACATGATTATCTCTGCTGTGGTGGCTCATTCTTTACAACATTAGGTTATTAGAATATCAGAATCAATATTTTCTCATTATCTGCACTGGCCCTCTGGACACTACATCGTGTTGCAAGCAAATCTGATTGCAGTCTTACACCTTCAAATTTGATCACTAACTTAATAAATACATCCAATACCACACAGCTGTAAGGTTTATACACATTATCGACGCACTGTTATATTGAGGGAATCCCATAAGCATCACTGACATTACAGCCTACAACATTGCTCATCCACCCTAGGATTTGACCTCTTGACAGTAATTTATATCTGCCCTCTAGACACGCCGGGGGGGAAGCATTGCCACCATCTCCGCCTCCGCCCACCTTCAGCTGTGCCGTATTGATCGACTGGAGAGGTCTATATGTGCAGTGGCTTCCAGAGACCCAGATAAATACTGTTGCCTACAGCGCAATAGCAACACAAATAGTCCTTTCCATGATAACTAACTAGTCTTAATGAGGGGCTTATTATCAGGATGGCAGCACTGGGCACAAAATCCATTGTGAAACAATGACTTGTAAAGCTAAATGTGCATGTAATTTAAATTTCAACAGTATGAAATGTTATATTTGTTTAATTTTTTTCAGCAAACATGTTTTTTTAATGACAAAAGCCAAAGCTTAGCCTAAATCTCACCACACATGTAAGATATCATATAGAAAAGTAGATTATAAAGACATGAGCCTCCAGGGGATTTGACATGAAGCAGATTATGGTAACCTGATCTCTTAGCTGAGGGTACGAATGACTAATATTCTCCACACGGCATTTACTTAATCACTGGAAGCAGTCCACCAAGCGCTTTCACTGCAAATGTGCACATAAAGAAAATGAACCATAATAATAGCTAAATGCTAAATAATACAGGTGCTCTACCACATTTTGATTTTGTTTTTGTTTGTGAAAATAAGGAAGAAGACAGAGAAAATGCAAATTAGCTCCAGTACTCTGTGTCACATTATGCCGACAGCATTGCCATTGTCATTACGACCTTGATGACTGCACAGGCTGGAAATAAAATGAATCACTTTAACATCAAGCATTCAATTACTTTTTATTCTATTTTCCTTCTTTCTCCTCTTTCACCTTTACTCTAGTCCACCTAACCCTCCCCCCAACCCCCACCTCTATTCTCCTGCACTTAAGGCAGGTGCCAGCATGTGTGTGTGAGCATGTGTTTGTGTGTGTGCTTTTGTGTATGTGTGTTTGTGGTGGGAGGGCTTGCTTCTGGAGGAAGTGGCTAGTCATAAGAGACAGCTGATGAGTATCGCCCTCATCCGGAGCTCCATTCATCCCAGTGCACAAGAGCCCATTCACCCCAAGAGCCCCGGGCACGTTCCCACACTCACACGCGCTTCAGAGGTGAACTGTCACTCACTCGAGACGTCCTACACAAATACCAGAATGGGCGCCCAGATGCAGACACACACACACACACACATGCATACATACACACACTGCTCCATACAGGCATACTACTGTAAATAGAAAATTCAGAAATAGGTTGCTGTTCTCATCTGACTCATTATAAACAAGCCCTGGAGCCCCATTTTCTCCTTCACAAACTAATCTTTATAGCCCCTGCATCCAAACACTCTTTTAGAATGAGTGACACAGCAGGATGAGGTGTCATATTCATTTGTGCTGTCTCCCTCTGCTGTAAATCTTTCTGACACGATTATACCGTGGCCCACCAGCATACCCATGGACTGCAGTGAAATGTGTGACACAATGAAGAAAGGACGTCAACTGCATGGAAGACTGGTTGCAGGGAAAACCTGGGAATATTTTATAGTGGTGACAGTGGATCTAGTAAAACCTGACTATTGGTGATACTGATCAAATAATCAATTTAAATCTGAACACTCAGATTTGGATAATCAATCTTTGTAGAAATTTTAAGTTTAAAGTTTATCTTCTGTAAAAAGGATCTGTTTTCACAACTAAACCTGTTGTTTAAATGGTGTTTGAGAACGATAACACCAACTAAATCAGTGAAAGTAGGTGCAGCAACCTAGATGTCAGCTATTTGAGCCCAACTCACCACGATGTTCTTCTGTACGACATGTATGCTGCTGTCTCTTGTCTGGGTGCATGCGGTGAATAAGCACCCCACCCCCTTCCCTCTGTGCTGCTATAGGCTCCATATTTGATCCACTAACAACATTTCTGGAAATGTTCAGCAGCAGCCTGACCCTCATATTCACATCACATTTCCCTCTGAGCCGTGGACCATCTCATTAATGAGGGCATCTTGGGTGTGTTTACATTTCACTGCACAGGCTCCCAGGCCTAAATGGCTGGGAGGGGGGTGGCGGTGGGGGATTCCAACTATTTTCTACAGCTCTTGTTATATTCTTACAGTACAGTCATTTCTACAAAACAATCCATGCCATAAAATCAACTCTGGACAGGGTGAACTTCATAAAGTGTGTGGGTTTATGGACAGGTAGGAACATGGTGCAATACAAAAGTGCAGTGACATAGGCGCTATACTGTGACAGAGGAAAGTAAATTTCCTTTTAGTGATAGCATTCAACATTCACCGGCAGCCAGTGCTGAATTTGTATAAATGTGCATTAGTGCAAGCACATAATGGTTTGTTTCCAATCCAATTTTAAGCTCATACAGTAAATGAATCTCATAAGAATGGCTACAACTACATAACATCAGACCTCTGAGTCAGAATGTCATTACGCTAATATTTTGTGTCTTTGCAAAACCACTCCATGTTTTTTCAACTTTATCCTGTGAGCTACAATTGATAGATGAGAGTGCATGCTAGTCAGTAGGAATGAAATAAAGATCACTTTCTAAGTTGCAGGCAGGTGTCAAAGTGGAAATGCAACAATCCAGGTCTGAAAGAAGTAATCAAATGTCTGTCATTGAGGCAATGTCACACACCTGGCAGAGAGACAGGGAGGCACAGTCTGAGGGTATCTCCTAGAAATGTGTGACCTCTCTTTTAGTGAGTGTACCACAGGCAAATTCAGAGGACTCAAGGGTGGAATGAGAAAAACATGAGCCTCAAGGGTGACAGAATCGTGTCAGAATACAAGAGGGATAAGTTACAGTGACATTTCCTTAATAAAGCTCAGACATGGAGTTATTGTTTGGCTGGCATAAAGGTACACATTATCACCCACAGGGGAGTGTCCTTACTGCGCTGACCAGGGACCCAGAATAATGATTTTTAAATGTCTTTGTTGACCATAAATCCTACATCCCATTGCCAACATGCTGTTATCTTAATTTAATTTAAAAGTGGGATAATTATTCTTCACATAAATTAACTATATATGCTCTCACGTCCGTCAGGGATTCCTAAACTTTAAAGAAATGCATCTGTGTGGAGGTTACAGAGTAGGACAGTTTGATAGTACTATTTAAAAAAAAATAGATAACCGCATTGTGATCTATTTAACAATGCATTTAGAGTCGTTTGTACTCTTTGTTTACATGGCCGGAGAGCCCCGAATTGCCTTTTTTTGTTTTCTGTCTCGGTTTAAATGAGGAAGATGTCACTGGCAGCCGTTTTCAAATCCATAGCTGTATTTTACATGTTTGTAGGATCTCTATTGTTGCTCCAGAGGTTGGCTTTAAATCCCCGTGGCATAAAAATCACGCTGCAATCATGCAGAGGAAGGCAGAGAGCATAATTCCCTCAGGGTCCCACGCAACAGTTAATACACGCGAGTCCTACAGTACATGCGATTATAGCCTGCGCAGGCTTTATCCTAGCGATGGAGTTCTAGGCGCTCTTTACCAAGTCGAGCAACAGATTGAGAGGAAGGAAAACAGACTGAACAGGTGGAATATGGCAAACAGTAGCGAATATACTCTGTTTCCTTGAGTTAGTACTTACAGGCATATGTCATGGAGAAGCTATTCCCCATCTTGACCATATCCACCTGCGGCACCAGTTTAGGGATGTCCTGATGGTGCGAGAGGGCGAACCGAAAAACCCCATATTCGTGCGACTCGGTTGGGAACAATCCTCCTGTTGAGCACCAAGGAACGGGGAGTTAATGTTAAGACACACTGGACCCGAGGACAAATCAGCTCAACATACACATAAGAAGAGACACGAGCACAAGTTGAATTACACATTTTGATGTACGAGGTCTGATGCGTGTGCGCCATTCTCACCTATATTGATGTTACTTGGAAAACTTGAGCTTGAACCCAAGCACATCCCCAGTAAACTGGTGTAGAGGATGGCGAAGCTTCGCTGCATATTTCCTTTTGCATTGGCGAAGGGAAAAAGAACCGAAATCCAAGCATATGTTTGTCCGTGTGTGAAGTTAAATCCCCCGCTTCTCATCCGCTCCTATCGTCTCCCGTTAGAGCAGCATTTACACCGACACCGATTCAACAGCGATACAATTATTGCAATGGCGAGAGGAGGCACCTTTCTCTCGCCCCTATCTCCTCTCAGTGCTGATGCTCTCTTGTCCTTGGCTGCTGTTGTATGAGACGGGGAATGACTTCAGCATTAGCCGCACTGCAAAAAATATGTCCGTCTTCAAAAGCTGGCCGACTCTCACTGACGATTTAAAAAATGATTTTTTTTTTTACTTAAAAACTGCGGGTTTATCCACAAAGAGGCGATTTCACTTCTTACTTGTTTGGAGGAAAATTTCGGCTTTTTTTTTTAAAGAAACGTCTGGAAACAAGTGTCACTGCAGCAAGGCTGAATACAGCTAAGAGATCATAAAGGAAATGCCATATCGACAAAGGGCAAACGTCATTTTGCACAAAAATCAAGAGACACCATCTCCTGCTCCTGAGTGATTCCTTCGATTTTACCACTCAGTACTTGTAGGATGAATATTTTTTGCAGTGTACACTCTCAGAGCGCACGCACGGGAATTCGCAGACAACCATTCACTTTCCTGCACTGCAAAAAGAAGCCGTAGTCCACCACATCTCTCTCTCTCTCTCTCTCTCTCTCTAGCTCAATACATTCCTGATGCTTCCCAGGTGATGAAGCAATCTTCTGATGCAGATCGTGATCAAAAAGTCCAGATGAGCTGCTAAACCAGTTGTTCCCAAAATCAAAAGTGATTTTGGAACCTCAGTTTTATCTTTCACCTAAAAGAGAAATGAGTCTAATCACTAAAGTCAGTACTGCTCAAACACATTTCATTCAAATGGGTTTGTCTGTAGTTTATATTCAATAAAAACACAAAATGTACAGCTCTGTTTCATATTCAACAGGATGGCTATTTCTTGCATTAATGAAGATTCAGTCAACAGTACAGCGGTGTTGGTGGTGCCCTGTGCTGTTCAGCACATTGGACGACAAGATTTCCACAGAAATGGCTGTTGTTTTTGGAGCAGTGCGGTTCCCTATGGGGATGGGCTGCTAGCCCAACGCCCAGCCACAGCAACTGCTGTCCATCCAGGTGCTGACCAGGCCCTGCCTTGCTTAGCTTCCAAGGTCATATGAGATTGGGCACGGCCAGGGCAGTGTGGCCCCCCGGCAGCACTGTATAAAGAACAAATATTATTTCGCTACTTTTAAAACCTGCTCTTGGTTCCAAGTCCTACAGTTTAACCATGGGTAAGATTACATCAGTGTGAGTCACTCTTGCCTGTGCTTGCTTTTAATACAGGTACATCCATCCATCCATTAGCTATACTGCTTATATTATTATAGAAGGTTGTGAGGGGACTCCTCTCTCCCATAGTGTGTTCTCTCGCTCTCCCTGTACATTTCTGCAGGTAGCTCTAGCTCCGGAGCTCTATGTTTGTGATGAGCAGTCACCAGCAACATGCACCTGGCCAGTATTTGATTGTGTGCTGTTGTGTCTATTGCGTCTTGTTGCTTTTCTTTTCTCTCTCCTCCATTCACTCAGTTGAGGCAGAAGGCCGCCCACCAAGAGCCAGGGTCTGTCGGAGGTTTCTTCTTTTAAAGGGAGCTTTCCCTCCCCACTGTTGCCAAGTGCTTGCTCAAAGGGGATTTGTTGGGTTTTTTCAATAATAATAATAATTATTATAAAAGTAAGGTCTAGAACTTACTATGTAAAGTGTCCTGAGATGACATTTGTTGTGATTTGGTGGTATACAAATAAAACTACACTGAACTGATGTCCACCTGGATGTCCTTTGGGGACCTACACTGGAGGTCAGTAGTCATCCAAAACAGACTCAAAACACTGACATATACTGTATTTTGGACCTGTTCTGGATGTTTACTGACCTCCAGTGTAGGTCCTTAAAAGACATGCAGATATGGAACCTACACTAGACAATGGTGGACAACCAAAGTCCATTTTAAACTTACACACAATTTAACTAATTTTGAACATCTGAGGACATCCAAAACAGGTCCAAATAGACATCACACGCATGTCTCTCCAACATCGGGTGTTTGCTGGGAACCATTGCACCGCTATGTCACCCAATATAGGATTATGAAAACCCACAGAATAAATGGATGGCCGGAATGGATGGGGTTTACTGGGCTTTGTCTGCCACCTGAGAAATACATTTTCAGTCAATGGGAGCTGAAAGCACAAAGCCATTTGAATTGCAAATAAAATTTTCGTTTTAAGAAGTTTTAGAAGGGAGAAAGCACACTGGGAAATGATGCTTAAAACTGCCAAGACTCAGTCTTTAAAGTGAATTGGTTTAACATAAAATTTGAGAATTCTGAATGCAAAAGAGGAGTTTTGCTTTGCTTGCTCCCTCTCCGTTGCACACAGTGCAGGAGTGGTGAGCAGCTGATAAGGGGGATTATGATTTAAACCATGTATTTACTGACAGCTACAGCCAATTATATTCTGAAGAAAGAGGTACATGCACCCCCATGCTTTTGTACACACTGCAAAATTAACCAACAGTGGCGATAGTCACATGAGATTGATTGCAAACCTCATTGTGGTGCAATGCCCCGGTGCTTGTTTAGAAAATGAAGTGGTAAATCCTGTTTTTGACATAATTAGGGTTAGGGATGAGCTCATTTATCAGACCAAGGCAGGATACATTATTATCATTATTATTATTATAACTCTAAATCAGTTTCTCTACTTATTGTTTCTTTAACACAAAGGAAGACCATCAGCACATTTCTCCCAGAAAATTAAATGTTGGAAGATTAGAAGCTTATGCTGAATTAGATTTCCAGTCTTTCCAATTGAGTGGAAACACTTTAGAAAAACAAAAGAAAAAAATGACTACCTCCTGCTGCAGTCCTTTAGACACTTAGGAATCAGAAATGCAGGAAGTAAAAGGTATCTAATCTATGAGTGATGGATATCCTATAAATACAGGCAGAATGGTCAATTTTCCTGGCCTTTGTTCAAAATGATGAGGGGGTTAGCTTAGTTATAAATGGTTGGTAAGGTTTTCATTACAATATTTGAGTTTTTCCTCACATATTTTCTTCTCTGTGTGCCAAAACACATACATAGTAAATTTCCCAGTGTGTTTATTTCACTGTTTGGATATCTTCTGTGTTTGCCTGTGGTGCCATGTGTAATGAATGCCATGCAATCTTATTTAAAACCCTGATTAATGCAGAGATCTTAGAATAGCATTGTTAACAATGGCTAAATATTCTATGGTGCTAAGTAGGGGAATAACAATCACAGAAGCAATCACATGTTGCTTTGGGTTAAAAATATCTTTATCATCAGACAGTGCAACAGAAAAAAAGAAAATATCTTTTTCCTAAAGATGTCTTCATTATGGATTCTAATGTGACTGTCTGTCTGGGAGTTTTTAATAGAGGTCTACATGAAGAGTATAATGAGACTAATCCGTCACAATCTGCTGTTCCACTCCTGCTCAAGTGAGGAGGGGGGAAAAAAGAACAACTCCATGTTATTCCTGTGACTGAGCCACCACACTTGTGCTGACAAGTACTTGTGTACGTCATAGTGTAGGAGGGAAATTATAAAAATTATGCTATTGCAGAGGTGACAAAGGAACAAAATATGACAAACAGGCTGAGGAGCAGGTGTGGAATAGCAACATTATGTTAGCCTGTCATAGAACTTAGTAGGGACAACAAGAACTGTTGTCAGTAAGAGCAACAACACTGGCAGGAACACTGACTTTATTTAAAAGATGGACAAACCTGATGGCATTGCCCATCGGTTTCAATCCTCAAGTCTGGCTGTCACCATCTCAGTAGCACTTCATTCTGCCTGCTCTGACTAATCCAAACATTAGCAAATTGGCACCTGATTGGAGCTCACTAGAACAGCTAGCGGCCAGCCACCTATGGCAGGACCCTTCTGCCTGACACTCAAAGTGGTCTTAATTATGCATAACATTTAGCCTCAACATAATTTAAATGAGCAAGTTATATAAATATTCAACCCCCATCATGGAAATTAAATGAGCAAGTTATATAAAAATTCAACCCCCATCATGGAAGGGGAAACTATCTAAAGAGAACAACACTGTTCTTGGACAAGACTGTAAACATGTTTATTTCTGTTGTAAAGTTGGCCATTTTAACATGGGAGTCTATGAGGACTGGTTCCCTTTTGGAACCAGCCTCAAGTGGCCATTTGAGGAACTACAGGTTTTGACACTTCTGCATTAGCTTAATTTCTCAGCCTTGGGTGTTTCCAAGTACAACATGACAGTTATAATGCATACTCAACCTGAATTAATGACTATTTTTAATGTTGAAAGTGAATAAAATGTACCTGTAGGTTGCTTACACTGATAAAAACAAAGATTTAGAATAAGCAACTATATGGAACCTTTTAACTTGTTTCATAGTAAGACCCTTACTTTCATCAACCCCCCACGAGTAGCAATTTCCAAAAAAGGCAGACTAGAACAATTGATCATGTTATTGTTTCCTATCATTCTGTAACAAAAGAAGGAACCAGCCTCAAGCTAAACCCCTTAGTCCCAAACGGGGCCACGGGGGGCTGGAGCCAATCCCAGCCAGCTGCGGGCAAAAGGCGGGGTACACCCTGGACAGGTCGCCAGCCCATCGCAGGGCTAACACACAGACGAACAACCACTCACACACACAAGCACTCCTACAGGCATTTTATAGACACCAATCAACCTACGCTGCCTGTCTTTGAACTGTTGGAGGAAGCCGGAGTACCCGGAGAGAACCCATGCAAGCACGGGGAGAACATGCAAACTCCGCACAAAAAGGCCTCAGGTCAGCCGGGGCTCAAACCCAGTACCCGCTCGCTGTGAGGAAGCAGCGCTAACCACCGTGCCACCGTGCTGCCCACAAAAGAACCACAGCAAAACAATTCAAAAAGCAACAAGGTGAAAATTGTCCTCTGTGGGCTAACATTTGCATAGCAGTGATCAATCTTCAAGCCTCACATAGAAATCGGTAATGGATTCTGATAGCTTGTTACCCTGTTTAATCTGCAAACTTGATTACAGCACTCGTTGACTGAGTGACAGACACTGTGGAAGTACACCAACAGCCTTGGACAAATGCTTGGCACTAGCACAGAAGCAATAGGAAGCAGAGCAGCCTGGAATCAGTGGATGCCTGATTTCTGCTCTGTACCTTAATTTGGATGAGTTATTGACATGCGGCTTAGTTATTCTTCCACATTATTGATTTAGCAGGTCTGCCCAAAGAGGAAGTGTGCCTTTTAGAAGTAGGAGAAAACTGAGACTTTTGAAATTACTGCTACTGAGCAGTCTAAGTTGTTTGTTTGTGCACATGCCATTTGTTTTAGATGAAAAGAAGCTATTCTTAGTCCTTTAAGAATATACTGTTTTGTCATTAGTGGTTGTGAACACAGCAGAATGTTTACATCAATACAAAAACAGTTGTGAGTTCACTTGAATAGCTTGTAATTAAGCAATTCACATTTTGGCTGATGTTTTCTTATTGTCAGCAAATCCAGTGAAAAGTTCAAAACCAAAGATGTGTTAGTCCATTTCTCC